GGTTTCAACACTGTTGATTCATTTGGAGTACAACTAAAACCTGCCATATCTTACCTGTGCTGGGACTAAGTCATCTATCTCCTCTATTTGTGCAGTTCAACACTTTTTTAGACTCAATTGCAACACCTCATATGTATCCACACTGCATTTTAGCTGATTAAATTCAGCTTATTATTCCAGCCTGTCAGCTGGGTTTTTTGGATACGGTCATGCAGTTTTTCTCTCTTGTTCACTGTCCAGCCCCACCTTTGAGCATGCCTTGTGTATTTGTCAGTATCAGTCATTGATAAACATGCTGATTGAACATCCCAGGAAGGAGGGAGAGCCCTCAGCATCTTCACTCAGGGTCTCATTGGTCCCTTGATTACTCCTGCTTTGGATACGATCATCAAACCAGTTTCTAATCCACCCACTAAGTCAGCCATCCAACTGTATTCTCTTTGGTTTTGTCCATGGAGACAGCAAGAGAAATCTTCCGGGAGGCCTCACAGGGTTTCAGAAAGCCTACATGGCTGGCATCTCCCTGAATTGTCATTCTAGTCATCCTGAGAAGAGAAGGAATCAGGTCCATCGACATGACTTGGTCTCAGTGAGTCCATGCTGGGTTCTAGTTACCACTGGCTCCTATTCTGAGAGCCCACAACTGTCTCTTTAACAACACAATCAGGGTCCATATTTATGTAAATCTGTAAATGCAAAGTGAAAGTTTACACTGGTTTCTCCCCCGGTTGTGCTGTGTAATTGCTTAACTTCTCTTGTTTTGTGTGTTTGCAACAGGTATCGTCGCAGCTACGACTCGGACTTCACTGCCCCCTTGGTCTTGTATCACGTGTGGCCTGCTCTCATGGAGAATGACTGTGTCATTATGAAGGGAGAAGCTGTCACCAGGAGAGGGGCTTTTGTACGGTGGCCTTGCATAGTGACAATTCGTCCCAAGTGTTTCCTTCACAAGTTCGAGAACATTTATAAACCCAGAGATTCTATAAAAGAAGTTCATAAAGAGAGGTTTGATAAGATTTCATACCAAGGAGAGGAAGGAGATGGTCTAGGAGAGAATCAATTCTTTTCTTTGATTCTTCCATAATTTCATAATTTTCTGGAAGCAATTCTTTGCTAATTTATGTATAAAATTGAATTAGCCATACTTGCCTCCCCCATCTTAAGAAATATTACGATATTTTGCAGGCAAAGTCCTTTGTGCTTATCTCCTGGGAGCCTTCCTTTAATTCTAAGCATTTTAAAGGGATTAATTAATTTTCAGGAATCAGTTTGCCGAATTTTTACTGGTCATTGTTCCCTTTGGGGAAACTATGAATGTCCCTTGTTTTTCTCTCCTTGGTATGATGTACAGGAAGGGAAGGGAAGGAGAAAAGAGGGCAGAGGAGGTGGGCAGAGGGGGACCAATCTGCTTGGGAAGGTTGCCTCCTCTATCCATTGGTTATAGAAAGTCTTGAACGTGTTAAATTATTGAGCAGTCTTCAGAAATGGAGTCATAGGTCCCGTGTGTGAGTGTGTGCCCGCTGCAGGGAGACTGAATGGTGATCTGGAGGCCACGGGGCTCATAGGTTCTGCAGATTCGTGTTATGTAGTTTTTACTCCCCGCCTTTCCTAGAAAGAACTAATTATGGAGTGAAGCCCCTTCACTCAGGTCAGAGCAAAGCTCCCAGCTGGCTGCTCTCTCCTCCTCTTCAGACTGAAAACGAAGGGAAATTCTTTGTGGCTGTGTTTTACACACCGAGTGGAGAAGAGGAGTAGTTTATTTTAAAGAATTTAAAAGAGCCCGGTGTGGTGGCTCACGCCTGTAATCCCAACACTTGGAAGGCTGAAGCAGGTGCATTGCCTGAGTTCACGAGTTCGAGACCAATCTGAGCAAGAGTGAGACCCTGTCTCCAAAAAATAGCTGGGCACTGTGGCAGGTGCCTGTAGTCCCAGCTATGTGGGAAGCTGAGGCAAGAGAATTGCTTGAACCCAAGAGTCTGAGGTTGCTGTGAGCTAAGATGCCACGGCACTCTACCAAGGGTGACCAAGTGAGACTGTCTAAAAACAAACAAACAACTTAAGAAAAGGCTATTTTTAAGCTTAAGAATCCCATAACAGAGAATAATATCTTAACAAAATATTCCATGCTATGAAAGTTGAGCCCATAGAAATTGGGCTTCCTTGATATGACAGCTACATGCTTGAGGATGGACAGCCCCATACAAGGTGCTCCTGGCCCCTGCAGCAATCGCCCTCTGTTAAGAAACTCTTACCTGCAGCACAGTTTGGAAGGGCGGGAAAGGAAACAGTGTCCAGATGTTCTTTATCATATCACAAGTGCCTTTTAACTTCCTTCTTCTCTCTTATCAAGCATGTCACCAATATTTGCCCAAACTTAAACCCTAAAACAAAGTGATAATACCTTAGAAGGAAGAACTTGGAAAAGAAAAAGGTTGAAGGAAAAGAGAAATGGGAGAAGAATTTCACTAGTAAAAAATCTCATATCATTTTCTTCTTACTTATTCATTTAGTGATGGGCAGCAGTGGTATTTCATTCATTCATCATTTCATTCAACAGTTTTTTAAATTTAATAGTCACTTATGACCCAAGGGTTGTATTAGGTGCTGAGGATTGAGCAATGAATAAAAAAAGACACAAATTCCTCCCCACATGGAGATTCTATTCTCCAACCCTTACAAATAGAAATGTAACTTCTAACCTTTACTCATAAAAAAATTCTGCTGACTTGGTGCCTGTGGCTCAAGCGGCTAAGGTGCCAACCACATACACCTGAGCTGGTGGGTTCAAATCCAGCCCGGGCC